TATTGCGCAGACCATGGAAAGTCTATAGCATTTGAGGTACGGTATCGTGCTTGCTTGTTTAAATTCTTTAATATCATATCATCCATTCGGACTCCATTGTACTTACATTTATTCTTTTGCTTGATGATAGATTACGAATCGCATTTCGCACGAGCATGGATTTCGTGTAAAAAAAAAAAAAAATCAACGAGACGCATTTATGTGTCAAGATTGATATGTACTTCACCTAAAAAGAATTTGTTTTTTATGACAAGATTATATTATATATATATATATGATACCAGAATTCATCAAATTAAAAATTTACGATTCCGTTAAACCCCAAATTACTTTTTAATTCTAATAATGAACACTAGGTAATTATGACATTAAGCCATTCAAACATGACAAGATATTATTAAGCCCATTTTACAGAAAAAAGAAAAGAATTCGCTCTAGAGAAAATTATCCTTTGTGAATAGTATCATTTTCCCATGGCATTCCTAAATCATGTCGTTTTCCGTAGACATTGTATATTTTCCTCACTTAATTTCATAAATCTTCTTTGTTTAAATAATTCTTTCCCCACACATCTTTTTTCGTACATATATTTCCCTTTTTCCTCGTGATTGTACAGTTTTTTTTTTTTTTCTGAGTGCTTTATAGATACTTGCATATTAAAAAAAAAAAAAATAAATAAAATACTTTAAAAAATACTTTAAAAAAAAGATCACCCTTGTATGCAAAACTTCATGATGTTCTGAAACATCTGTGTACTTTCTTTGTATGCATATATATAATTGCGCATCTTTTTTCTGCCCAAACATGAACGTGATGCTGTAGTTATCACCACATTTCAATTTTAGATCTTGCTATTCAAGATACATACCGGTTTTTTTTTTTTCCCTAACTTTCGCAAGCTTTTCATGCATGGCAACAAAATCAAAAAACCCATTAGGCCTCTGTCCTATAAAATCATTGTGGGAGAAACGCCGGTACTGCGCCAAAAACGCCCCCGGCTTCGGTCTACGTATTCGGTGGGGACTACCGATTTTGATTTTAAAAATTCTAGTTCGTTCTTTATTCGCCTATTTCCACTTCCAAATTCATATCTTAGTAAATATAATTATGTAAGGTTTGTCATGGAAAGTGTGAATTTTCCATTCTTATTTTTACTTCTGACCACCTGGTCACTTTGAGCTTGTTCTGAACACGAGATGAGTAATTAAAGATCTTTCATATACATATTATGAAAAATAAAAAGATGCATAACTCGGACGATCGAATTACGTAAACGGTGCAAGTTGCCGAATTTTTCTAATGCCCAAGACCGGTGGTCAGACCAATATGTGGATATCATAGAATGACAAAAAAAGTCTCGAGTATGATACATCACAAATAACATTTTCTTGATCTATGGTGGGACAAAGAAT